ATGTTCAGCCAGCTGTCAACCAGCACCCCCAGATCCTTTTCTTCCAGGCAGTTTTTCAGCCACTCTTCCCCAAACCTGTAGCGTTGCATGGGGTTGTTGTGACCCAAGTGCAGGACCTGGCACTTGGCCTTGTTGAACCTCTTAGAATTGGCCTAGGCCCATGGATCCAGCCTGTCCAGTTCCCTCTGTAGAGCCTGCCTACCCTCGAGCAGATTGACAGTCCCGCCCAATTTGGTGTCTTTGTACAAGATTGGAAGAAAAAGTAATTGTTGCTGTTAAGACAGTGATTTTTCCCTCCTGTTTCTATTTTCTGGGGATTTATTTAAAGGTTTGCACTTACTGACTGTCAATAGAGATGTTAGGGTTTTTTTTTAATATGTACTAGTGTTTTGCTGTTTTCAGTGGTTATATATTTGTGCATCTTTGATTTAGGTTGAACCAAGCACAAAGTTATTTCCTGCTGTATTTGCTCAAGCTACAAGCCCAAATGTTTTCCAGTTCGAATTGGGAAGAATAAAGGTAAATAATGCTTGGTTTTGTGCAGGTTTAGGACTAAGATATCAAATAATTTTTTTTTTCTTTTTTTTTGGCCATTTGTTGCCTGCAATGTGTTCTTGCTAATGGGTACATTTTTATGATTCCAAGTGTTTGCAATATTGCCATTTTTATTCTTAACTCAGTTTTAAATACTTCATGTATTTAAAATACAGTACATTGGATGAGAAGGGTTGTAACTGATTAGAATTGGCAGAGGATATTGCAAAGTCCTGTTGAATTTTCTGAATCTCATCCTTCCTGATGAAACAAAATCACTGGTATCAGTAAGGTAAATGTCTTATTTGACAAACGGAGCATGGGTGACTGCTGTATCTGCAGATTAGGTTAGGGTTTTAAAATAGCTTTAAAGTACATTCAGACAAAACACTCAAGAAAACTGAGATGAAATTTACTTCCTTGCTTTGGATACATGGGATATCTAAGACATCAGAAGAGGTAAAAGAAGAGCTGAGTTCAGATCTCTGGTCCAAGGAAGTGACCACACATTCCATTCAAGTTTCTATTTCAAATTTAGCTATTTTTAAAAATTTGTTGTGGACGATGCTCTCTTGCTGCTAATCTGCCAACATTTCCCCACTTGTTTTACAAACTACTGAAAATGCTAATTTCCTGTTGCACTGTACTTTACTGTACTATATGTTGAATATATTTCTTGAAAAATATCATATATTCATTATTTGGTAAAGATGATGAAACTGATTGTCCCTTCTGTTGGAATTTTCCAGAATGTAATGCCATTATCTGCTGGCTTATTCAAAAGTGAACACAAAAACCCAGTCTCTCAATGTCCTCCACGTCTCCATGTCCAATTTCTGACTCATGTGCTTTGGAGCAGAGTGCCAAACCACTTCTTGAAGGTTGACGTGTCTCGGATTAGCGAACGTCAAGGCTGGATGATACAGTGCCTGAATCCACTGCAGTTCATGGCCCTTCATATTCCTGAAGAAAACAGGTCGATGTTTGTGTGTTGAAGTATATCAGAGCTAGATTGGGATTATGAAGCTAGACATGTAATAAAATTTCTATAAAAAAAGCCCAAGGTATTCTCTGTATTTATAACATATGTAAATAAAGGCAGCGTGTTTTGATTTAGCTAATATTAAAAATTAATTTTTTTTTCAATGTTTTAAAATCTGCCTCCTTTTATTTTGTTTCCAACCTCTCCTAGTTTCTCTCCAAACTCTTTAGTAGTATATATAGGTTTAATTATTAAAGATAATATGCGAGATAGGCAAAGATCTGTTTTTGTAGAGATTTGTTAAGATTTGTGACCGATTTAATTATTCTATTACTTTAATTTTCCTAAATTTAGTTTAAACAGTTGAAGAAATTTAACTTTGTGTTTTCCTTGTTACCCAAATGTCTCAGCATCATGGAATTTACTGTATTGGTATTTTCTCTGCAGAACAATCGATATTTTAGAGCTGACAGAACAAGAAGAACTGCTGAAATTTCACTACCATACCCTCCGATTATATTCAGCTGTTTGTGCCTTAGGCAACAACCGAGTGGCGCATGCTATGTGTAGCCATGTGGATGAATCTCAGCTCCTGTATGCTATTGAGAATAAGTATATGCCAGGATTATTACGTGCAGGATATTATGACTTACTCATTGACATCCATCTCAATACCTATGCAACTGCCAGGTTAATGATGAATAATGAATTTATAGTTCCAATGACAGATGAGACCAAGAGTATTACTTTGTTTCCTGATGAAAACAAAAAACATGGCCTCCCTGGCATAGGACTTAGCACTTCATTAAGGCCAAGAATGCAGTTCTCTTCTCCGAGTTTTGTAAGCATTAGCAGTGAATGCTTTCAGTTCAGTCCTGAATTTCCTCTGGAAATCTTGAAGTCCAAAACCATAGAGATGCTGACTGAAGCTGTTCAGGAGGGCAGCCTCCATGTCAGAGATCCAGTTGGAGGTTCTACAGAATTTCTATTTGTCCCTCTCATCAAGCTCTTTTATACCCTCCTAATTATGGGAATTTTCCACAATGGGGATCTGAAACACATTTTGCAGTTGATTGAGCCCCGGGTTTTCAAAGAAGCGGTGAGCCAGGAGGATGAAATTGATTTCTCAGAGAAGGAGCTGAGTTCAGATGAGCTCAAGTCAGAAGAAGGAGAGGAAGAAACCAGAGGGGAGCAAGTGCCAAAGGAAGGACTCCTTCAGATGAAACTTCCAGAGCCTGTTAAATTACAGGTAATAATACTGCTGTGATAGTGGTTGTTCCCATTGCTTCACAAATCCTTTTTTCTTCACTTGGTAATTTGTCTTTCAAGGAATACAGCATTTTGATGTTAGGTAAATAGAGAAGTAATTTACTTACAAGAAACAACAAGATTTAGTATCTTCCTGATGATATAAACTTGTTCACCATAGATCAAACAACTCTTGTTTCATTAAATAAATTACTTTATCAATGACATTAACAGGGAATTCTTCATTTTTATGGATCCAAACAGAAAAGCAATTCCCTAGAAGCAAGGAGTAAATCCATTCTCTTAAATAAAAGTCTTACATTTTATGTGTCTGAATCACATAAATCTCTTGCAGATGCCAGATATTCCTGGTGTAGGATTACTTCACATGTAGTAAATGACAACATTAAAGATTTCAGTCAGTTTATTTGATAGTAACTGCTGCTGTAAGGAATCCATCCTTACTTGCATAATATACAGAAGATATTTCTTAGCTTGCTGGCTCTTCTTTCTCTTATGATACTGTTTTCTCAGATGTGTCATCTACTCCAGTACCTGTGTGATTGCCAAGTACGACACCGAATAGAAGCCATTGTAGCATTTTCAGATGATTTTGTGGCCAAGCTTCAAGAGAATCAACGCTTCCGGTACAATGAAGTGATGCAGGCCTTGAACATGTCTGCTGCCCTGACGGCTAGAAAAACAAAAGAATTTCGATCCCCGCCTCAGGAGCAGGTACAGCTTACAATGGACAATTTATTTTTTGTTGTGCCTTATGTGTGGCAGAGTTCTGTTTGTAATCAAAGTTTTTCCTTTTGGAGATCAGTGTCATTTGCCTTACCTTTGTATTCTTTAAGATTAACATGCTGCTGAACTTTAAAGATGATAAAAATGATTGTCCTTGCCCTGAAGAAATTCGGGATCAACTCTTGGATTTCCATGAAGACCTAATGACACACTGTGGTAAGTCTTGTTCCTGAATATTTTTACTTTTTTAACTATATTGGCTTTAGAAGCAATTTTTCTAAATAATTTTACATAAGAAACACCAACTAAGTAGTCTGTAGATTACACTATATCAATTATAAATACTATCAAGTAAAGATACTCAGCTTGTAGTAAAAATGAAGGAAATATTCTTATCCTCATATCTGGTCAAACTAGAAGGGAATACAGTATGTTTTGCTTCATGAGGCAAAAGGGTGTTTTTTTCACCCATACAGCTCTGTGGGAATTTCTTTGGGCTTAATGGATTGGATAACACTGTAGCTCACTTGTTATTCAAGGGGTTCCTCTGCCCTGTTCCCTCTCCTTTGCACTCCCTTGCATAGGTTGGTATAGGTCATCTTTGCTGTATCAAGTTGACTATGGCCATGTTAATCACAATATAACATAATAGTGGCTGATTCTTCTCAGACATGAATGAAGATATAGAAGTTTATTATCTATTGAAACAGACTAATAATCAAAAGGAGCAGTTAAATTTCTGTGGTTTTCATTTCTTCACTTTAGTTAATAAAAAACAATTAAATTCTATGTCATATTAAAATGTGAAATATAGTAACAACTTAAATACAAAAATACCAATATAAAAATGAAGCACCAAAATGTGTGTTTTAAATGTCAAGCTCACATCCATGAATACTGCAAATTCAGTTATAGAGTAGTTTTGTTCGGAATGCATCCTTACTTACATTTTGCATTGAGGACTTTGTTGTTTTCATGTTTGGAGGATACTGATCCCTTTATTTTACTTCAGTACACTATTTTAAAAAAATAAGTAAAAGAGACACTGAGCAGACAGCATGAGCAGACAAGCAGCTGAACTTTCACATCATGTCCCATTAGCTAGAAGAAGCTAATGCAGGGATGTGTGGTAGTATTTTTTAAACTAAGACTCTGGTTGAGGAAGGAGCTTTGGACAGGAGAATCTCTGCACTTTTCCTCCTGAATTGCATTTCTTATTGATCCCAGTTCAACTGGAAAGAACATGTTTAGTTATTTAATTCACTACCTTAAAATATTCAAATAAATAAAAACATGCCACCAATATCTGACTTTATAGTACATGAAATTTCTTTCTTGATAGAGCAAGCACAGTTGACATCTCTGTGTATCACAAGACAATTTGGTTAGATTGGTCCATCTCAAAGATATTTCTGTTACTAAAGTAATCATAGATTTATTAAGGTATCAAATATCATGGAAAGTCTTTAATACAGCCTCCTACTCAAAGCAGAGTCAACGCTGAACTGAGACCTGGTTGCTCAGCAATTTTTGCACTTGGCTCTTGAAAGCTTCTAAGCATAGAGATTCCACAATGTCTTTGGGCAATGTGTCATGGGGCCTGAATGTCCTAATGGTAATATTTTATTTTTTTTTTTTCTTTCTTCCTTATGTCAGTTTGGAACCCTGCCTGGTTTAGTTTGACAATTGTATCTTGTTCACCTCAGAAAAGAGCATGGCTGCATTTTCTTGCTAACCTCCTTGTAGGTTTCAGTGGACTGCTATTAGGTCCACCATAAACCTTCTGTTCTGCAGGTTGACAAACCTGGTTCCTTCATCCTCTCCTTACAGGACAAGCGGTCCAGCCACCAATCATCTTGATGGACCATTGTTGGATGCTCTCTAGCTTTTCAATGTTTTTCTTGTACTGGGTAACCCAAAACTGGCTGTAGTATTCCAGATGTCATCTCATGAGTGCTGAGTACTGGGGAATAATCACTTGCCTTGAGCTAGTGATTATGCTTCCACTAATACAGGATATTTTTAGCTCTCCTTGCTGTTAGAGTGCACTGGTGTCTAGCTTTCTGTCCAGCAGGGCCCCCAAAGTTCTTTTTGCAAAGATGTTTTTTTAACCAGTTCATGTCCAGCCTGTATTGTCACATGGGATTGGTCTGTCCAAGCTGCAAAACTTTGCATTTGTTCTCGCTAAACTTCAAGTATCCTGTCAGCCCATTCCTCTACCCTGTTGAGCTTCCTGCCCTTGAGTGTGTTTTCTGCTACCCCGAATTTGCATCATCCCCAAACTTGATGAAGGTGTGGTATAACACTTCAAATGAAATATTTTTATTTTAAACGAAAAAAGAACAAAGGGAAATTCAAAGTAAACTGTCAGTTGACAGAAAACGAAGATGAAATAAAGAGTTTAGAAATAATATTTGAAAGGAGAAGAGCCTTTATCTTGCTCTTTGTTTTTTCCCATTTTTCTTTAGTTGTTTAGCATCATTCTCCTCTGTTCAAATTATTTGGTCTAGTTTTGTCATTATTTTTCTTTTCTTTATGGGGAAATAGTAATTTGCATAATCTACAAGTAGAAAATTAAGTTTGTGAGTCAGAGGATGCATTACAGTAGAGCAGAATTAATTACTCTGTGTATTCGAAATATGGCTATTACAAAATAGGTAAAATAATTACACATCCTCAGTCCTATGTTTAGTTGATTAGCCAGCCACCATTTAGGGATTCACCTCTTGTGAAATGCTTGAGAGACAATTATATTGACAGTTTGCAAATCAGAAAAGTACAACTAGAGCTCAGAACAGCATAACTGTGGGAAAACAGACATTTCATTTGAGTAATTTCAGAGCATCTCTGTGTTCTAACTGATAAGACATTTCAGTGTCTTTACTGTTAATTAGTTTGGTTGAAGAGACTGCCATCCAAACCATTTTGTAATACGAATTAGTGTAAAATATGAAGTTACTGATGATCCTTGTTTAGTTTATCATCCATTGCTCTCTTAGGACAAAATATAAAAAATAAATTTTCATGGAAATGGACCTGTTCTTAAAGCAAAAAATCAGACACTTAAAAACAGATGCAATAAATTGAGAAGAATGATATAATGTCACGAAGAAACATCCTATAAAATTCAAGACTGCTAAAAACCTGCCCACAAAGCCCTTAATTTTAGAACTTATACTGGAAACTAAAAAACCCAGAAAAAAATAGTTGAATGACCTTTTTACTTTTAGCTTATTTTAGTGTAATAGGTATAGGTTAAGATTTTTGATTCCTTTACGATATATGCATGAGTGAATAAAGTTAAAAACATGAGAGAAATGAGCTGACGGGAATCCCATGAAGTTCAGCAATGGGAAGTGCAAAGTCCTGCACCTGGGGAGGAATAACCCCATGCAGCAAGGACAGGCTAGGGACCAAACTGGAAAATAGCTTTGCAGGAAAGGACCTGGGGATCCTGGTGGACAACAAAGTGAGCCTGAGCAGCAATGGGCCCTTGTGGCAAAGCAAGCCAACAGCTGGGCTTCCCAGTACAAGAAAGACATGGACACACTGGAGTGAGTCCAGGGAGGGGCCATCAAAGGTGATTAAATTCTTGGAGCATCTTTTGTACGAGAAGAGACTTTTTTTTTACTGTAAGGGATATGGAACTCAAGAACAGGTTGCCCAGAGAGGTTGTGGAGTCTCCACCGTAGGAGATAATCAAAACCTGACTGGATGTGGTCCTGAGCAACCTGCTCTAGGTGAACGTGCTTTGAGCAGGGAGGCTGGACTAGACGATCTCTAAAGATTCATTCCAACCTCAGCTGTTCTGTGATTCTGTATGCATTTTTTTGCATTCCTATAGCTTGTTATAGGAATATCATGAAAGAGCCACTGTACTATGAAGGTGGCTACTTTCTTCTGGCTGGTCACTAGGAAGTATATTTAATTCTTTCACTTCTATGATATGTTTTACCTAAAAATCTCCTGGTCTTTACTAGTGTCAGTTGAACCATACTGTGCCAGTAGGGACTATATCTACACTTCTGAGCTACATATGTCCAAAACACAGGCATCAGCGTTAGCATGGAAACATGCATACTGGGGGAGTTGACCACAGAAATATATTTACTGTATATTTTATGTATAATAACACACAATTTATACAATAAATTAATAAGATTACATGATCCTTATCTGCAGTTTCCTGCCCTGTACATATAGCTAACCTAGACTTGTTCCAAACTGCTGGTTAAGCATATATATCTCATGTCAAACTCTTTTTTAGTTCTAACAGAGCAGAACAACATAGTTCAGTTTGATTATGTTTGTACATACAAGATACAAAATGTGCCTGTAACTTGTTTAATTTTATTCTTTTGCTATTTAGTGTATATTTTTTATTTCAGGAATTGAACTAGATGAAGATGGAACCTTGGATGGAAACAGTGATTTAACCATTAGGGGTCGCCTCCTATACCTTATGGAAAAAGTTACATATCTGAAGAAGAAGCAAGCTGAGAAGCCAGTTGATGATGATGCTAAGACATCCTGTAAGCAAAATTTAATCAGTTTATTGTATCCTAATTCCAAAAGGCAAAAGAAGTAGGGGAGGAAGATACTTACGTGTTTTCAGCCAAAACAAGGTGGATTTTTAGTGAAACATCTGTGCACCTTAAAGTTTTATGATAAGCAGCAGATTTGTTTCCTAATGGGATATAGTTGGAAAATTTCTTCTACTGGCTTTTTCACCCTTGATCCTTTTTCAAGTCATAATTTTTCCAGAATGATCTTGATTTTTGTAGAATTAGTGCAGAATTAATAATTGTAGCAAAGTCCTGATTATGAGAACTTGCTCATAAAATCAGCTGCAGCAGCTTCAAAGCAGTATTTGCATGAAGATTACCAAATTGAAGATTACTGTACAATTAGACTGTAATTTGCAAAGCTGTACTGAGAAGCCTCCTCACCCAACCTAATATTTAAGATTTGCTGACTGTGATTGTTGCTTTGTCATTTTTCTGACACTTTCTGCCTTTCCATCTTGATAAGAACCATTGCCAGTGGCATCCAAGTTCTGCACTTGGTGCCAACTCATTATGGAATTCTATTTACTTTTTACTTGTCAATGCTGATTTCATTTTTATAAAGTTTTTTGCCTTTATTATGGTGGGTGGCACTTTCAAATGTCCCAGTTTTTTATGCTGCTACCCTACTAGCAAGAATGAGTTTCTGCTCACACAGTTTAGGTGTTCTGACTTTGGCAAAAAACTTGGTTTCCATCATGGACTACACAGAATTCCTAGGGAGACCGGCCTTTTAACTTGGTTGCTTAATGTAAGTGCTAAAGTTATGGGATGAGAAGATTTCCCCAGGGTACTTATAATGAGATGGCTTCTTAACTGCCAGTCATTAGTGTTAGCTTATTGTTCTTTAAATAGAAATATTTTTGTCCTCCTAAAAACGTACCTTCTAGTTTATAACTGTTATTTCAGTTATCAGGCAGTGAAAATTAGAGGCTAGGTCTATGCAGAATGTGCGGATGAATCCTATGGTTTCCTAATTTTTTTTCTTGTAGTAAGCTGAAAGCTCTACAAAATTGAATTCTCTCTCATGTTAGTAGAAAGACAGTATTATATTAAACTAATTAAACAGTATTGTGGTGGTTAGGCTGCTTGGGTTCTTCACTGCAAGCAAGATAACAGCCAGACCCACAGGTAGGTGGGATGCAGCATCGCACTTATCAAAACCCGAGCCAAATGACAGCCTGCTTATGTGATTCTTCACAAAAAAACAAAGGAAACTTACTATTGTGTCCCTTGTTGTTAGTATTTATTTAAATCCTTCTGAAATATAAGTCAAAACACATTTAATCCTTTTACTTATTTTTAAAGTGGTTTTATTCTAAAAAATGCTATGCTGTGTGACAATGGAAACACCTGTAGTACAGTGTTTGTACAGTAACAATAAAATACTGTACTGTTGCTCTTTTTTCCCCCTAACCCTGTATTAGCACATCTTAGCACAAATTTTCTTGTGTTAAACATTCTCTTTTGTGTAAACTCCTGTCCCTTCAATATCTTTCGAGTACTTCTACTTTTTTTTTTCATTTGAGTTTAGCCTGAAATTGCATCTGGTTTACTCCAAAATCATGTTACTGTCTCAACACATAGATTTCTAATTTGAAAATATTTTTAATGTTTAGTCTGCATCAGCTGCCTTCTTCAACATCAGGATATTTATTAGGCAGATTATTGAACTTCAGAAGGGAGTATCAAATTTTTCTTGTCAAACTTTTGTTGTTATCTGCTTGACATGGAAATAAATTGATTAGTTGGGTAAGTACTAAAGGTGAAATTCTCTAGTGTATAACTGTCACGATATCTCAAGAGGATCCTCAACTGATCTGACAAAGTCTGGCAAAACTGAATGGAAGTTCCTGGAGATGGGAAAAAGAACATTATTCAATTGTGTTTGTCAAATACTTTGTCTTGACTGTTTGTTCATGAGTAATTTTTCTAAACAGCAGTCTCAAATCTCAACTGACATTATATAGCTTGTCTATTTTAACATATGAATTTCCCAAATATAAGTGTATCTATGTCCCAGCTAATGAAGATTGTCAGTGAGAATATCAGATACGGGTCTCTTGCTTCATTAGAGACTGAATTCAAAATATGCAAATGATGATTTACCATTTATTTGACTGGAGTCTCTTCATTTCTGTTTCTTTTGAAGGGCCTTTGGTTTTGGCAAAGGACTAAGTTAAATTATTCTGTTTTGTACATTATAAAAATTTGAGTGGATACAGAGCTTAGACACGTAAATAAATAATACAGCATTTACATGTGCTACCAGTATATTTTTCCAGTCTTACTTCATAATATGTAAGAAAAACCCTCAGACCTGAATTCCTGGAAAAATCTTGAAAGCAGTACGTAGAGATAAATCTGGTGACTTTGTGAGCATCTTGTATGTCTTAATAATTTTTTATGTTATCACATTCTTTTTCTGGTTTTGAATTTTAAATATAGGCTTTTGATTTTTGAGATGCTTCTGCTTCTCTTGTGTGATTTTATTTTCCTTTGATAGTCTGCTAAAGAAATACCAAGAAAAAGGTGCTTCTTAGGAATTGAATTCATTCCAACTCATGTTGCATAATGGGTTCTGAGGGACTACCAGTAGAGGGATGAGCAATTAATGGTAATTTTGTGATTTATGTATTTTCTTCACAGCTACTCTTCAGCAGTTGATTTCAGACACAATGGTACGCTGGGCTCAGGAATCAGTGATAGAAGACCCGGAGTTAGTGAGGGCCATGTTTGTATTGCTACATCGTCAATATGATGGTATTGGTGGCCTGGTTCGAGCCCTACCAAAGACCTACACCATAAATAGTGTGTCTGTGGAAGACACAATCAATCTTCTGGCATCCCTCGGCCAAATCCGTTCCTTGCTTAGTGTCAGAATGGGGAAGGAGGAAGAGAAACTTATGATTCGTGGATTAGGGTAAATAACTGGAGTGTAACATCTCTTTATTTACAGATATTTGTTGTTATTTGCTGTATGGTTATGGCCAAGGTTATACATGAAGTTTGAATGTCAATAGTCTATATGGGTGTAAATGCAGACACTGGTATCAGTTGTGTAGTATCCTCAGTTGTGAGATACAGCCTTTGCAGCGTTCTGTGTGTCATTTTTGGAGAAGCAAATGACATCTGTAAGACTTCTTGTGAGAAACGTTGAAAACATGTATGTAATGTATTACGATATTACAAAATATATCTTGTTACCATATTTTAAATAGTATGGCTGTGATGAATCCTATCAAGAATACCGTCCTTTTTATATGAATGCAGTGACTGGTAGCTGTTGACACATACAATTCCTCCCAGCAGTCAGCTAATGGAGTTGTGTCTACATGTGTCTGTACATATGCCATCTTTTTATTGCACTGAATGTAGCTGGTACTATTTGAACTATGACGTAGTTCACCCCGTCTTATTTTTCTGAATTATATGATTAATAATAGTGAAATATAGCCTAATAAAAAGTACAACTGGAGAAAATAGCAAAGAAAACACGATCATGTCTACTAGCAAAGAGTTTGTTTTTTTCGTGTCTCTTTTTTTTTTACAAAGAACTGCTACCATCTGAGAGATGTCTGGTGAGATTAAACATCAGCTGTGATCTGTTAGAAATCCCCAATCAGCCAGAGCAATGACAACCAAAGCTAGCATACTATAAAGAATACCTTGTGCAAAATACCTTCTTCTTTTTTTTTGAGCTTACTGAAAACCTCAAATATCCAAATAATGTCTATACATAATTTTGTAGTGTCATTATGAACAATGCCTACTTCTTAGCTTGCCAGCAGGTCTCATCAATGTTCCCTGCTTGTTGCAATGTTCAGTGTACTCATGCTAAGGCTTTGGCAAAGGGGAACGTCTGTCACCTGTCAAGAGACACAAAATACTGGTATTTCTAAATCCACGTTTGTACTTCAAATTTGAGTTGTTACATTTCACTTAAGCTAACGAAGTGTAAAATGAGTGAGTGATTACTAGATTCTGGCATTGTTGTGCCTGGGGAAAAAAAAACAATCTCAGAGGGGTTTTCATTTCATGTTCTGCTTTCTTTTTGTTCTTTCACATTTTTTTCCTCAACATTTTCTGCTATGAATTAAAAGCTAAGATTTTGTGAATTTGATATAATTTTAACAACATTTTTGGTGATATGTGAAAGTCTGGTGTAAGGAAGAAAGAGTACTTTCTGTTAAGCTAGTGTTCTCTCTGCCTGTTTCTATTACCCTTCTTGGTAGCCTCTGTCATGGTCTTGTTTATCTTGTAGGTTACCCAGCTGTGCCATTTGTACCTTTTATAGCCTAACCTGGGCTCCAGCACCTATTTAGAAATGCCAAGTTTTTTGCTGTGAGTGGAAATTATTCCTTTCTTCCAGCTGAGAAATGGAAGTGTCACCCATTCCTGCTTAAAAACTCAGTTTCCTCAGAAATGCTGTTAAGATTTTTTTCTTGTGTGACATTTCATAATGTAGTCCACAGTTAAACAGAACACTGAAAGTGGGTGCACTTCCCAAAGTAGCGTAATATTGTTGGCCAGGTGATGTTTTGACTTTCTGTACTGTATTTCTGTAAAAGAAAGCTGATGTAGACAAATAAGAGTTTAGAATGACTGGCAGATTAATAGCATCAAGGTCTTTTTCCACAGCATGAAGCATTAGTGCAGAAAAGAAACATGGTATGGATAGCTTTTGGAGGCAGGGCCCTATCCTCTGTCATCTCTAATACGAAGTCCGGTTGTAGGCTTTGGGGGGAAAAAGATCAGCTAATCTTTCTGGGAGTTACTGGGAGTCAAAAACTATTGATAGTGCAACCTATATCAGACATACTGCATGCATTCTGTTGCATGACTGATAGTTGCGGATTTGCAGCTTTTAGAGTGATGGAACAGTCCTCTTCATGTCTCATCTTTTGTAAGGCTGAAATTTTCCTTGCCTGATTGCAGGAGTTTTAGGTCAGAAAAAAAGAAGACTGCTATAAAATGTACAATAAAATTTAAACAGTTGTCAACAGTATTTTCCATAGTGACTTGCTAGTCCTTTTCTCCCATGACCTAATTGCTTTCACATTTATTTATGGGTTGTGTGTGATTTCAAGACTAATTACAGTTTTTAGAAATTTAATTACTTTTTAAACCAGACATTTTTATTGGATATTACATGTCTGCATAAAAGTGACATTATAATCTTCAGGAATGATTTTAAAGTATGTAAATCTGTTCTGCTGAAATATGTAGGAGAGGAGAGTTCTTTTGAGCAGTAACTCATGAACTAAGGTTAATATTTATGCAGCTTCTGTTTCTGATGCTTAGAGGATAGCTGGATATACATCCTCTTTCCCCTACAATTGTTTTTTCTTGGTTTTGATGGCAGATGTCAAATGTCTCAAGGTTGAAATATTCTGAAAAGAATGCTTTGTCAAAAATATTGATTAATTGAATTTAAAATTTAAGCTCATATAGCAGTTTTGATCATGTTCTTGTCAGAAAATAATTTTAGATCTGGAATGGAGTTTCTAATGAAAATAGAAGAGCATCCTACTCTGGGGTAATCAAGTGGTGATTAGCACAATAACTCTAATATGGGAAAAGAAAGGTCAGGTTCTTCCACAATGTGCATAGAAAAATAGGCTATCAGGAGAGATTGCGATTCAACCTGAAAAAGTCCCTGAGGTAATTTTTCATGTCAGGTGGTGAAGAATTGCACAGTAAATCAGCTTTGCAAATAACATAATAGGTAAGCTATTGGTCCATAACATTTTAATCCAATTTTTTATTTTGTTTTCCTGTAGAGACATCATGAATAATAAAGTATTTTACCAACATCCAAATCTCATGAGAGCTTTAGGCATGCATGAAACTGTCATGGAAGTGATGGTAAACGTGCTTGGTGGAGGAGAATCCAAGGTAAAGCAATTCACTGTTAGAAGACAGAGATTTTAGAATATAGCTGTTCAAAGCTTTATCCTGTAAGGCGCTGACCAGTCACAGGAGGTACTGAGACCATAACCTCTTACTAATTTCCATTAGCACAGTAGTTGACTAAGTTTTTAGAACAATCTGTCCTTCCATTCTGGAGGAAGATATAATTAGCATTGTGATTTCAGATGCTTTAAAGAAAAAAAAATGCAAATAGCGCTTTATATGCTTACTGGGTTTTAAAGGGGAGAACTTTTTAGAAACTCATTAAAAATCAATGCAGTATTACTCTATGAATCTGAGCATTCACATTTTTTCATGTTTGAATCTAGAATTTATGGATGATTCCAGCTCTTGTTTTTCAAGCTTATACCTTGATCTTTTGGGCTTAAGGAGTTATTTAGTTGCTGAGAAAGCCCTGTTGATTCCAGGGTGAAACCTAAACAATTAACTTAAGGTGCAATAAATACAATGTGTAAATATTAGTGTGTTACAAGGCTGTTACATAAATGATCTTTTGCAAGTTTTATGCCTGTCTTAGAGTTTGAGCTTCAGTCTGGTTTTGTTTGCTTCTTAGGAAATCACTTTCCCAAAGATGGTGGCAAACTGCTGTCGTTTTCTATGTTATTTTTGCCGCATCAGCAGGCAGAATCAAAAAGCTATGTTTGATCATCTTAGCTATTTACTGGAAAACAGCAGTGTTGGCCTTGGTAAGTAATAATTATATGGCTTTTGAGATTGTAAACCAAAATGAAATTCTTAAAATTTTCTGCTGATTTATATATGTACATAAAACCACCTGTGGTTTTCTGCATCCCTCTGTTTGCATCCTCTGTGTTGAACTTTCTCCTTTACCCAGTGCAAAAGTACCTTAATTAAGTGTATTGCTAACTCCAAACAAACCCCTGACTAGCATTAAGTTGAGGTAGTTTAGTATAAGCTTTTTTGTATGTGCCTGGACATTAAGAGAGAGTCAGTGTTTAGCTGCATATTTTGAGGAACAGAATAAAATCCTGATTTTGATGAAGAGAATCATAAATAAGTGTTGGCAGCATTTCATTAGGGCTTACTTCTCACTGCTCAAGCTTGCTCCCCTGCACTTTCTTCTGTAGACTGTTCAGTGTACTCCTATAGCAGTTGGGAGAAATACAGAACTCATTCGCTTGGGTATGCATGTATAGATGCCCAGAAATGAATGTTGAAATTTTCTTAAAATGTTAGCCTTTCTTTTCTAGGCTGAAGTGTTATAGAGGAGATACATTTATCCTTTATTTAATTTAGTCCTTGTAACTGAGAATATATAATTATTTAGAATCATCATAGTCTTTTTTTTTTTATAATCACATAAATATGATCACAAGTTCCTTATTAATGTATAGGTACAGGACAGAAGCATAAACTACACATCTTTTTTGAGAGAAAGTGCCCAGATCAAATGCATTTGGAGTGTTAATATGAAAACCTTAGCTTTTTCTAATGCTATAATGACTGCATTTTTTAAAGAAATAGATAAAATATAATCTTATATTTTAAGGCTTAAAGATATTTTCTACTTCAATACATTCGATAAAAAGTCAGCTACCTTTTACTCAAATCGAAGTTGTGTCAGGAAAATTAGAAATGACATCTTAAAGTATGTGGTGAGAATAGGAGTGTGTAAGAAAAGTTGTTTCTAGCTGGAACATCTACATTGTATTTTAATTTCATATCAATGTCAAATTTCATGCGAGTGCATTATTTTGTTATAAACTGAGTGGTATAAATGATATGCTTACAATCAAGTGCTAATGACAAAATGTTGTATTTTATTAAAAAAATTCTGTTAATGTATTTCCTATGAATTTGTTGGGTTTTATTAAGTTGGTATTGAAACAAAATGTTATTTTAACAGCCTCTCCTTCTATGCGAGGATCAACTCCTCTAGATGTTGCAGCAGCCTCTGTGATGGATAACAATGAACTTGCACTAGCTTTAAGGGAGCCTGATCTGGAGAAGGTTGGTAGCTTCTTTATCAAGCATTTTTTTCCCCTGTAGAGAGGGAAGATTCCTGTTTCCTCGAGTAATCAAAATCCAAGATTTTAAAAATTATATGGGATTTTTAGGTACCTTTCAGAGGAAGACTATCAGCATTCTTATTGTTTGTTCTTTCTGCTGGTTGTCTGGATAGTTGAACTGAGTTTATGGATATTACATACACAGGTGTAACCAAAAGGAATTGCCTCAAGGGCAGCTCTTACTTTGGGAATAGTGGAGTCCATACCCAACAAAACTTCATTGCTAAAATCTTTCCTTGTTGTTCTGTCTTGATGGTGACATGCAGTGGTGGCACAATGCAGTAGGGGTTACTAGAAGCCTTGTGACAACTTGTTACAATATATGACAAATTTTCATAGAGATATCTATCTGTATCTGTCTGTATTTTTTCCTAACATTTAAACGGGCTTCAGGAAAGACTGAAGGAATTGGGATTAATTAGACTAAAGAATAAAAAACTCAAGAGAGCATGTGACAATTGTGTAGAATATATAAATTGCTGCTGCAAGAAGGAATAGAATAATGGTTACTATGTCAGTAGTGGATAAGAAAAGTGGCTTAAATAATGAAAAGACAGATTCAAGATAGACATTAAAAAACACTTTCTAATGGAAAGTAAGACAGGGGAACACATTGTCTAATTTGTTCTTGAAGACCTCCAGTTCCCGAGATGCTATAACCTTTGTAGGAAAGCATCTGTCAGGAGTAATGAAGTGTATGTAGATGATCCTTTCTTGGAACAGGAAGATGGACCATGTGTGTTTAAAAGGACAGTTTCAGATTTATTGTTCTTATAAATGGTCAGCAAAAAGAAGGTATCTGAACTGGTTAAAGGCTATGCTTACAATTCTTACAATTCAGAAAGGAGAAGGCCGACTGAAAACTACTACTGAGACTATAGGTCTGAGTACAGGGAGTGTTACTGCTGTGTGTTTAAAAAGAAAGGAAGAAAAAAGGCAAGTGAAAAGGAAAGGCTAAAATAAAAAAGTAAACCTGTGAGTTATATGTTTTCAAATATGGATAGTGTGTAGTTGGGGAATATTAAAAAATTGACTAATTTGTAATGCTCAGGGTTGCAATAGGAATGAGATATAGATAGCAAAGCAGTGATTTAGAGAGAGGAAAAATGGAACTGAGATAAGTAAGGTCTTGCAGTTCATGGCAGAAGTAGGAAAAGACTGGGAAAGTGAACTAAGAAAGAGGCTGCTCTTCTGATTTGCCCAAAGTATGGTATGGTTTTGTCAGGGATAATAGAATGCGGACACATATCCAAGACAATGTATGAGGATGCTTCCCTTTGAAACTGCACTTCTCTTTCACAATTAATATCTTCTTCATCTTACCTTGCTTTTAGGTTGTTCGCTACTTGGCTGGATGTGGATTGCAGAGTTGTCCTTTGTTGATTTCTAAAGGCTACCCAGACATCGGATGGAATCCAGTTGAAGGAGAGCGATACTTGGATTTTCTTCGTTTTGCTGTATTTTGCAATGGTAGAGTAGAAGCCTATAAATTTTGTAACTTCCTCTAATGTTCAGATAAGTTTTAAATTTAAAATAGTAACACCAGCCAACTTGATAAGTTACCATAAATTTAAACGACAATTTGCCGAAAGAGTAGAGTTATACAAGACACATAGTAACTTAGATGCCCATTTCACAAGTCATGTAGGGTCCTATGAGCCTATGCCCCATTTTTTACATCCATCTTTAGTCGTTGAAATGCCCACATCTCCTTTGGAAGTAGAGCAGAGAGTACTAAATCTTTTTATGACAAAACTTGTGCTAGACATAGAACCAAACCCCCATCTTTTGATGAAGATTTAGGTAGTCCAATTTTGGTGTTTAGCAGCTATATTGGTCCCCTCATTAACTCTCTCGCTTGACTGTGAGTCTTTACTACAAATCAGTAGCTTCAGTGATGCTTTAAACATCCTTTTTTACGTAGTTACATCTTTGGATCTATTTAATTTTGAATTAAATCACATGTTTTATTTCATAGCTTTTATTACAGTAATAAGAGGAGTATGTGTGTTTATGTAACTGTAATGATATTTAAACTGTTTTGTAGTTAAAAGTATCTAGTGATGCATACATTCTGCACTTTTGCGTACCTTTTTCTGATTATATTTCAGAAGTCTTTTTGATATAATCTTAAATCTTGGTATTTGTTCTATGTGGTAGGAGAGAGTGTGGAGGAGAATGCTAATGTTGTAGTCAGACTGCTTATCCGTCGACCTGAATGTTTTGGTCCAGCTCTAAGAGGAGAAGGAGGCAATGGGTTACTTGCTGCCATGGAGGAAGCAATACAAATATCAGAAGATCCAACAAGAGATGGGCCTTCCCCAAGTAATGGATCCAGTAAAACCCTGTAGGTGCACTGGAATTGTTTATGTTGCCATCATTTTTGTTTATTTGTTTTATAATCTTAGTCGTGAAATGGCTTGTTTGTTTTAACGTGTGACTTATCAGCTGGATTCTTCCTTGGATTCTAAGGAGGGTAGAGATTTGTCTTCTGCCAAATAGTGCTTCCTCTGCACTGTTAATTTAAGTAACTCTCTCTAAATATTAAATCCACTTTGGAATTCTGTTTGTTCTTTGTCAGCCAGTTAAGAATCAATCCCCTAATGCAAAATGAGACAGATAAATGGTAACAATGCAAATGTCACTACAGTCTTTTAGGGACAAATTCCATTCTGTGTTAGTCTGCTAAAAGTCCACTAGTTAACAGGAAGCCACTATGTGTAAGCTGTTACACTTATGAGGAGATTTTCATTATTTATTGCTGATGTAAAAACTTCCTTGTGTTTTTTTCACCTTTTAATGGTTTTAACATTTAACTAATTACAGTGAAATGGAAGAACAAGAAGATGACACTATTCACATGGGAAATGCAATCATGACCTTTTATGCTGCTTTGATTGATCTCTTAGGACGTTGTGCCCCTGAAATGCATGTAAGTTTTATGTCTTCATGCATTGGAAAGTAATGGCATAGCTGTTTACTGATTGTTCAGTGGTTTGCTGTTTGGGTTTTTCACAGTAACATGTTATCAGGTACGAAAGCAGTGGTATGGCTACATAGTATCTTAATGTACATAATGTGTTCATCTGCTAATTTACAAGGAATTTCTCTAAACTATTCAGAAGCTGTTCTTTTTAAAGGAATTAGAATCGTTACATTGCTTTTCTTATTACTGGTCCCTGTGGTTGGTCTTCAACAACGTTGTCATGAATATTGTTTGAGCGTCCATTGTGACAATCAAACTCCTCAAATTTCCCTATTTATTGTGATGGTATAGAGTGATTTATTTTTTTTAAACCACACTGAAATCACTATTTCAGCCATTTGATACAAAGAATTAGACACACTATAAAAACCAAGCCCTTGCCACTTAGTTCTTAAGAGCTTGAAACTATTTGAAAATATTTGTTGTTACAATTCAAAAGACCTTCCTGTTCTTCAGAAATTCGACTTCGTTATGCATAGTTTCTCATTTCACCCTGAAATGTGCCCTAATTCATATAGATTAATATAGATCAGTATCAGATTTGGGCAGAGATTGATAACTTGAGAAAGAAGAGAGATATCCATATAATAAGGTCAGTGTATGAATACGTGTTTTGTTTGAATAAAAAGAAAAAAGTGTTTTGTTTTCTCTCTGTCTCGCTGCCTTTTTTAAAACAGAACTAAAACAAATGAGATAACTGAAAGTGCTGTTATTTGGCCAGGACAGAAAAACTGGCTTTTCTCATCTGAAAATCTGCTTTTGTTTCCCCTCTCTCCACCTCCCATGTGCTACATTTTAATACTTTGTTCACTTATTTTACCTAACATTCCATTCTGAAAATAGGCTTAGTCTTATTTAATAACAAAACATCTAGATTTGCATCCAAAATACAGCAAATAAATACAGATTGCAGGAAATTTACATTATTAATTATAATGCAATTTTGAGACCAGTCATTCTGGTGTATCTATGTTTCAGGAAGTTTCCAGAACATGAACACATACAGAAGATAAAAAGACCTTGATAATTTTTTCTTTGTCTTTTCCTTAGCTAATCCATGCTGGTAAAGGGGAAGCCATTAGAATCAGATCAATTCTACGGTCTTTGATTCCATTGGAAGATTTGGTGGGAGTAATTAGTATTCCTTTCCACATGCCAACCATAGCTAAAGGTAAGATGATTATTCTACTTTTTTTTTTCTCCCATCCCATTCTTACATTTTGTAATTTAGTGACATGTTGATAATCATACTACTCTTAGTATTTAAAAATGTTATAGAAAGTAAACTATTTATTGTGTGAATTAGAAATCGTGTATTTCAAACATGTTTCAAGAATTTTTCTTCATGCTATAGGCAATAATTCTGTGTACACTTAATTCACTGATGTAAATCCCATTCATTTAAATTAAATAATGAAAAATCTATTACAACTTTAAAAAGAAATTTAAAAAGGCATATTTTCTATTTTTCTAAAATATTTTTTAAAAATTACAATCTCTTTTCTTGGTTACATAATCCTTAGCTTTTGCTGTTCTAACCTGATCAATTGTTTCTGGCAGATCTTACTAAGATACTAGAGTTGTTCTTGAGCAACTCTGGTAAAGTTATAGGTGTGGCATGTATGCAAATGCATTTCTTTGTGTTTTCTGCCTACATAGAATTGATTGCAATAGTGGGAGCTATGTGAGCATCAGTATAAAAAGGAAAGGAATTACATCTGCTTTTTTGAGCATGTGGAGAGAGAACATTACAATTGCAACATGGATTATCTAGAGACTTACAGCACAAGAATGCCCAATAGGCTACAGTAGAAGAGATAAAAATATAAATCATTTTATTACACCATTATTTATTTATATTCTAAATAGTGATAGGTCTATGGTGATACCTCAGTAGCATAGAGTACCACTCATAGATACAGAATTGTGTATCTGGTTTTGAAAATGAAAGTATCAAATTTAAAAATATTTCAATGAATTCCTTTCAGATATTTCAGAAGTTTTCAGATACAAAGGACTTTTTAGCACAGTCTTATTCCTTGTCATAAATTATGGATATGCTCACCAGTACTGCATTCCTGGGGTGTTTGATATAGAATTGTTGTATTTTTTACTTTCTGTCTGCTTCCTCTAAGAACTAGGTAGTTCTGTAGATGAATTAGTATGTTTTGGGTACTTATCATATTTAGAATATCAACTGATAATAATCCCTTAATACACAAACCATGAACAGAAAAGCATGTATGGACTTTGAGGTCTATCTGGGTAGAATATGCCTTATTCATTCCTTTTCATTTAACTACAAATATGTTGCCTTTGTGTAACAAAACCATGGGGAAGATGCTTAGATACTAACAGAGACTCAAAACCTCTGACAAGTAGTAGCATGACTGCCTAGTGAAGTCATGCCTAGTGAAAGTGCCTGGTGAAAGATGATCCTTGTCATTGAAGTCTTATTTCTTCCTTTTAGATGGTACTGTGGTGGAACCTGACATGTCTGCGGGGTTTTGCCCAGATCACAAGGCAGCCATGGTTTTGTTCCTTGACAGGGTCTATGGAATTGAGGACCAGGATTTTCTTCTACACCTTCTTGAAGTGGGCTTTCTGCCAGATCTTCGTGCTGCTGCTTCTTTAGATACGGTAAGGGTTTAAGTCTGTTGTTATTTCAGTTCCATTACCTTACTGAACACTGCAGCACAAAAAACCATTTTTTATTTCTTCATGTTGTCTTCTGCATTTCTCAAATGCTGGATGAGCTGCCTGTTGCTGCTGAGCTTTGAGAATACTTGAAGAAACATTCTCCAGAATGATGCTCACTTTATAAGAGCCCCCATTGATACCCATACCCATAAGAGATGCAATGCCTTTCTCCAGGAGACTTTCTGAGCTTGTGTTATGGAATCAAAATCAGATAAGCTGCCAATGAACCATGTAACTGAGAGCCTCTTTCCAGAGATATACAGAAAGTGTTCATCTCCATGCACTTGTGAGGGACACCTACATTGTTATTTTGGAAATCATTAAATTTTTGTTTTAGTACCTTCTCAAAATTGCTGCCTTTTTTTCTGAGGGTCTTATTTCCATCTAATTTTTCTTAGCTGGCTTGGTCCAGAAAGATCAGATTCAGAGAGCTTATATGAGGGCTAAGACACGGACTTTGATTTCCCTATTTGACCTTTTATGTCAACGCTCTTCTGAAAATAATTATGTTGTTATTTAAGAAAGAGCAGGTGAGGATTTCTTCCTCACTTGGAACTTGGGCTTGATCATAATACGGAAACATACTGAGTTTTCTAAATGCAGACTTAATTGATATTACCTGATTTTGGAGTGTTCTGTTAAGCAACTATGACATTCTTTAATATCGTCTTGAAAATTGTTTTGTTTTTTGAATTGCTACCTTCAGTGTTTATGTTTTTGTTCATTAAAAACAAACCAAAAGCCATCTGTGAGTCTTTAGAAGCAGGAAAAGAAACTAGGCATCCAGCTTCCAGTAGGTATCAAAACCTCATTTGTGTGTTTTGGAAATTTCCCTCTTTATAACTACTGCAAAAGAAAAACAAACAAGTTCTTTTCATTTGTAACAACATTGTTGGGACAAGTCTAATTTCTTTCCAATTTAATTTGTAGGCTGCTTTAAGTGCTACGGATATGGCTTTGGCTCTGAATCGATACCTTTGCACAGCAGTCTTGCCTCTGTTGACCAGATGTGCTCCTCTGTTTGCTGGCACAGAGCACCATGCTTCCCTCATCGATTCCTTATTACATACTGTGTACAGACTCTCAAAGGGCTGCTCTCTTACCAAAGCTCAGCGAGATTCTATTGAAGAGTGTTTGCTGTCTATCTGTGGGTAAGAAAATACTCCTGGCTGTACAGAAATGCTACTTGATAACGTAACCTATGATATTTATAATGCAGGAATGCAGAATTATGCCACTGTAGCATAATTAAGATTTTTTTTTTCTTCCTGGCAGATGATTATGATACTTTTATATACACTGTATTCAATTTGCAACTTTATTAATCACTCATTTGCAGTCCTCAGTTATTTTGTTATTACTGAGGTTTTTAAGTTAAAACCTTGGAGATTAACAAAGAGGATGTACTGCAAAAAGACAAAGCTCTGGAAATTTGGAATTGTGCATACACTGAAGTGCCATTTAAATACTTTTAGCTGTACAGATTGGCAGTATGGATGATGATCAGTAAATTATATAGTTCTGTGGAGATGTTTATGTTGTGTTACATCTGAAATCCTAATCAATGACTAGTATTGTTATACCTCATTATTGACACCTATGGGACAAATTTTGTCTGGATATCTGCAGTCTCGAAACCAGTTGATTTATTCAATTTTTTTATAAACTACAGGCTCAATTATCAGAAGTCGACTAGGCACTTATGAATTCAGTTTCTAATTAAAGTTAGCAACATTTAGGCTTTCAAATCACCAGAGTTTTTTGAATATTTCACTATAATTTTTTTTGCATAATGTGGAAATGTGTTCAGAAATGACAGACATTTGTATTATAGTACTGTAAAAAAGTACTGTACAGCATTTCTTTATAAAATATATCACATTGACCATTTATATATAAATTATCTTGATAAAAACCAATAAAATGGACCAGTGTTTGCTGTTTATCTGGAAAGATTTAATGTCCGTGCCATTCTAACACACATGCTATACCTATTTCTTCTGTCCTTCCAGTTCGTGCCCACTGCTGCATGTCTTGTTTAGTACATCTAAAGAGTTAGTGCTCTTACATCTCTGTTTCTAGGATATTTTTAAGAGTCATTGAGATATATTACAAGAAATTAATGTTATAGCCTTTTTTCATGGGCATGGTGATCATAATACACAATATCAGAATTCAGGGGTTTTTTTTCCTGATTGTCTATAGATCAGATATTTCCTCTGCTCCTGTAAAGCATTTGATTTTCAGACACATTTTTTTAGTGCCATAAGCAAAATCCTATTACTTTATGAATTTGAAGAATTTTAATGGCATAGAACTGACAGGTTGCTTTAATGTATTTATTAGTTATTTACATGAAATTATGCTGATACACTCTTTTGAAATTGTTTGTCTGCCTTTAGGCAGTTGCGGCCTTCCATGATGCAGCATTTGCTGAGAAGATTAGTATTTGATGTTCCTCTATTAAATGAACATGCAAAGATGCCTCTCAAGGTAAAAATATATTTTAATATTCAACAGCATTCCTTGTAACAAAATGCAACAGAAAATACTTGCATGGAGAATATTCTCTATCTTTGTTACCTTATCTCCACTCTGCAATAATCTAAGACCATAGTTCTTAAAGAGAAATTGCTGCTTTGGCAGGAGTTCAGTCTAGTTTACATCCATCCATATGGAATTATGAAGTCTGTGTCTAATGTTTGCTTCTCCTTTAATTAAGTCCTCATTTTTTTTAAGCCTATGTGGAAACAGAATAGAAAAACCCTTGCGGGCAGGGGTCAGACTCCAGTGCACAAAGGAAGATAGCAATTGGTAGTCTGTACGTACCCTTACTTCTGCCCTCCGTGCTGGTTTTTCCTGCTCTTGGAAAATGGACATTTTTTTTTTTGGTTTGTGCTTGGAAATCTAAGCAATACATGTTTTTTAATAATCTTCCGTTTTGTTTTCAGCCCCCACAGGTTTCTCCATATCTTTGATTCTGATTCCTAATGCACAAGAAAAATGTGTTTTTTCCTTTCTGAGATGACACATTCCTTAAAGATTCCTCAGATTTCTTTGGCAGTTCTAAGAGACGTATTATTTCCTACTTTACCTACTGCTGTTTTTCAGTAGTCTTTTTTAGTGCTTTCCCACCACAACTTTGAACGAGATATTTAACCTTTTCTTATTTAATATTTCTTTATCCTTCTAAAGCCATATATCAGGATTAATTGCATTTTACATCCGATTTCTTTGCCAAATACCCTCAGAATTATGCAGGCTTCTACTAGCCAGATTATGGTCTCTGACCTCACATGAGGAGTTAAATCATTAGTCTCAAAGCCAGGACCTGCTGCATGGTATTTCCCCTGCCAAGGATGTCATAATTTGGTTGTGTCCCCCAAGAAGTGCTCAGTCAAAAGAAGATGCCAGAGCAGCCATTCTTTAGTGCCTATGTGTGAGAAAAGCAGTTGAAAATTTAGTATACTGCCCTGAAAGGGACCTTTCTTGTGTATTATGACATTTAATGTGCTGCAAAAACCAAATAGTAACTTGGTGCTCCCTGGGTAGCTATGTATGCTCCTTGAGATCTGTTCATCTAGGACAGCAGCTTTTTTGCTCGTGAGGGTCGTGACTGCAGTGACTGTCCCATATTGCTGAAGTGAATAGGAAGGAAATAATTATTAGATCCTTTTGGCAAGTCAGGCTTCGGGAGACTATAGATATGAAAAGAACAATGGTGTTAGCATGGGCAAATCATTTTGTCCATTGACGCCTAAACAAGTAATAGGAGTTTCTGAGGAAAGTGAACTCTTTATCTGAAGATAGAACTAGAACTTTTGGAAGATTTCACAGACAGTAAACTGATTTTCAGTGATTTAGCAAGGGACTCTTATCCACTAATGTGTTTCTGATCTGAAAGTCCCGTACATATTCCTTATGAGCTTGTGGTAGCAAACAAGTTATAGATGTCTAAAGAGACAGCTACCAGTTAATCATGCATCTGAAAATGTAATTTTGAATGGGAAGAGAGGAGGAAATCATGAAGGCTAAATCAGAATAGAGTGCTATCTACTGTGAATACCTTTGCTGGTTTCTACAACTAAAAATTACCTCAGTTTAGGCAGCATGTGAATTCAAATCTGTGATGCTCTTCCTGTGTAATTTTCCTGTATAATTCTGGAATAGGGCTGCCTTGTTTTTATTTCTTCTTAAATCATATTCAGTGCTTCATCAGGGACTGCTCTAAGAGTAAATCTGCCTTTACTCTTGGCTAGAATTAAAAATATATACATATATATTAGCACTTACATGTTGTCCAAAAGCAAACCTGAAGTCTGGCTGTTGTATAATAGAACTTATTTTGAAAAAAACATTTTCAAATACATCTGAGACTCTTAGAGTCCATATTTCTGAGACCCCTGTGGTTCTACATGAATGATAAAACTTTTGTCTTTTTACATTACATAGACATGTAAGTTCTTCTCTCCCTTTTTTCTTTAATCATCTGACAATTTAAATAGTAAATAGATAATAATAGATTATTTAAAACTGAAGACATACAAATGCATTATATGGATTTTTTTTTTTTCTGATCCATGAAAAGTATAATAGAACTGTACAGTATTGAGGTTAAATTTTGGTTATCAAAAGCCTCACTTCTATACATCAGGGCTTTTTCTTTGTTTTTAATGCCTGTCTTTATTTCTGTGCATTTACATTATGAATATCTGCATTTTTCCATCTTGGCATTTGTTCTGACTGGAAAAAAGGGAATCCTGTCAGCTCTTTACTGACTGTGACTTGTAATATTTTGCCAACATGCTTTGCAAAGTGACATTGAAACAATTCTCTTTCTCTGAGAAACTGTTAAAATAAACTCTGAATTAAAATTCCAGCTAAATTTTTTAGAAAGATCATTCTGTGCCTTAGGGAAATCTGCCCGTGAGTAGGACTAGGTTTTCATACTTTGCTATTGCTGAAATTTTTTTGTTTGGGATTGCCTTTACTGACAGACATACAACTAATTTTCTCCTCTTCTTGTCTGTGACTCAGGGACATAGAGGGCACATTAAGTGCAAGATTTGTGATGTTTGAGTATGGCAAATACCCAGTAGCAGGTCCTTGCACCATTTCATTCCCTGATAATCTGGAATCTTGTCACCACTTAAGAAGAAAGTATCCCTGAAATATTTATTTAATGAAAGAGAGGGAGATAGGATAAAGCTCCTCTGCCAATTATAATAGGGTGCAGGAGGGTGGACTGATGGCAGGTTTTACAACTCACAGAAGAGATGAGTCACACAGGGAGTTATTGTTGAATAGCTCTCGGACTTGTAAATAATAATTGGGAACTAGGTGAAATCATGGTTCTACTATCTTACCCACCAAGCAGCAATGTTTGGAATAGCGGCACACACATGGAGGTGAATTCTTGTCTTCAGCTGAAGTGTCAGAGTTATTGTGGTGGTGGGCAAAATTACCCTCTGTCACATGCTTTTTGCATATGCCACTAATGTTAAAAGAAAGAATTGCTCATTACGTGTGCATATCCACCAATGATTTAAAGAATAGATACACAACATGGCTTCTTGGTAAAAGTTAGAAATTCTTCTGGCAGTGTCTGTCTAATGGTTGAGTGCTAGAATGGAAGAACATCAACAGTTATATTTTATTTGCTTTCAAAATATGTTCTGTTTTAGTTGCTGACAAATCATTATGAAAGATGCTGGAAGTACTATTGTTTGCCAGGTGGATGGGGTAACTTTGGTGCTGCCTCAGAAGAAGAACTTCATTTATCCAGAAAGTTGTTCTGGGGTATTTTTGATGCTTTGTCTCAAAAGGTAATTAATTTTAATATCCATCTGCTACTGTAAGAGCCTTACTGTGTAACCTTTTTTCTTTAATCTCATTTTTACCCAGCTTGTATCAACACTGTATTATCCACTTTAGAGGGAAAATATAGACCTTAGTAAACTTAAATCTTCCTCTTATAGCTTCTGCTTTAACGTAGGTATACCATCTTGTCTTCTCATTAAAAAAATTATATAGCTGATGAAGTAATTTGAGGTGTATCTGTACAGGTCAACTACAATTCAGAACCCTAAAAGCAAATTCAAGCATCTGCAGGTGATTGAAAGCTGCACTTTTCTACCTCACACACTCCTTCCTTAAACCAAGAGAGTAGTCCTTTGCTTAGCAGTTGTAGTTTCATCACCCTTGAATCAATTCTATGTTGAACAAAAGTTTAATAATACACCTTGGCATGTACTTACTGTTCATTCTGTGAGTATTTTTAACCAACCTACTTAAAATTTCATGAGTTTCATTTCAAATCTAGGTATTTAGAAATGCTATGCATATTGCTGTGCTATGTTCTCTTCCCAGACATGAAAAATGCCTAGTGTTACTCCCAGTGAAGTCAATACTTTTCCCATTTACTTAGCAAGAGCAAGACTCCATCCTAGTTTTATCTGTAGGGTATAATATGCTTTAGACAGTCAGTTTCCTTTATTTTCAGAACAAAAATTCACCGTGACACTAAGAAAGCAAGCCATTCTGTGGCTGCTAGGTTTCACATATAGGTACATCAGTTTCAGCAGATATGCTGAGAGCTTCCATTCACTACTCACTTTCTGTTCCCTGTGTGTTCCACAGAAGTATGAACAAGAACTGTTCAAATTGGCTTTGCCTTGTTTGAGCGCAGTTGCAGGGGCCTTACCTCCAGACTATATGGAATCAAATTATGTCAATATGATGGAAAAACAGTCTTCAATGGATTCAGATGGGAACTTTAATCCTCAACCTGTTGATACATCAAAGTAAGGAATTATTTTCTTGCAACTATTTTTTTTTTATCATTAATGTATAAAAGAGGGATGGAGTTTTGTTGGGTATGATGTGAACTTACAGCTTTTATTCTCTTCTGAACGCTTACCTTCTAGATAAAATGGAGACCTTAGCTTTATATTTTTTTTTTTATTTATTTTAAATCATATAAAGCAATAAATATCCAGTTATGTAACTAATTTTGTGGTCAACCTAGAACATTTTTAATGCATTTTCAGCCTGAAGATAGAAGTCTCCAGTTACCTTTGTATGTCTGCTGCAAACCAACCAGTGTGTTTTTAGGAGCAGAAAAAGTAGACTAGTCTACACCATCCCTGTCATTATTGACATGTGCCGAGACACTGATTCCACTGTGTGTGAATGGCAGTGTACCTACAGAAAATGATGATGATCATGCATTCATATAATCTCTTTTTACCATGAATAATGGGGAATTGGGCAGAAAGATCTTCACTCTCTGTAGGTAGTCGGACTCTGACCCATGCTCTTTTAAGTACATTAGCCAGAAAAACACATATCTGAATGGGATTTTTGTGCCCTGATTCAATTGCCTTTGTGAGCTTTTTGTCTGTATTAACATTCAGAACACAGAATGCCGTCAGTAGATTGATACCTCTGTACAGCATGCTTGTACATTGAAATATGGTAGTAAAAGCCATAATCTAGGCTGGAATATAGAAGTCACATCAATGTCCATCAAAATATATATCTAAGATATATTTAAGATATATGAAGATTTAACAAAATTTAGTAAGGATATTATACTATCATTTAGCTAATCAAAGATGACTTTATCTGGTGTCATTTCAGAGGAAAATTGTAGATAGCCAGAATATATTTGAAAAACTCAGAAAATGTTACTTAACATTACCTAAATCATCAGTCACTTCATTGCCACAGGAGTCAACAGTTCTGTGATGATTCAAGACAAAGAATGCACTGCTTCTGTCAGTATCACTTCCAACCTATCCTATATTCTTTTAACACGCAAATCCTGCATCGCGTTGCTTTCTAGTCCTAGACCTATTTATATGAAGCTATAGATAATATAATCTTATTGTACTTGCCAATTTATTGCATTTCTGAAATTATTCAAAGTATTATACTATTAGGAGAGTTCCCCTTGAAATACACGCCTCCAAAGAATAAAAAAACCTGATGACCATGCTGGATGAATATTTTCTGACCTTTGTGTGTGGTTAGGCTCTTGCAAACTGTTACTCTGACATAACTTCGTTTTACATTTCTGCTTTTTCCCACGCTATGACTGAAGATTGAAAACCAGACTGCTACCTCACAGTAGATGGCACTGTAACACTTTTGCTGCAAAAATTTGTTGTCTTAGGAGGGAAGATTTTGTTATTTCATAAGTAATCAAGAAGCAATTATTCCCTTTCATTTGTAGGAATGCAGATGCAGAAAAATACTGATATTTGAGAAATTATTTCTGGAAGAGGATTTGGTCTCTAGTGCTTGTTTGACAGTTAAGGATAGCTGCTTTTCCTTTACTGCTTAAGAAACCTTAACTTCTGCACTGTCTTGTACACCTGTTGAAGGGCTAGTGTATTTATTTGTGGGTTTTTTTCTATTTTTAATAAGGATTTTAATATTTTTAATATTCACTGGGGTGTTGGAAAATAAAGCCTTGAGCATATAACTTTTGAGTTGTCGTAAGTTATAGTGTTTCAAGCATATAAAAAAATTCATAGTAATATATAAAATAGATGATGTGTTTCAAAAAGGACTATTAGCACACTTAGTTTATAATGGACATGTGCATTGTTGCCACTGTATTTCTGAAACTATGTCATAGTTATAACTTTAATCTTAAGAAAATGTTCGTAATAGAAATATGTGACAAAAAGCATGAGTGCTCTGTATCATTATTGATTTTTCCCTGCACATGTGTGTTGAAGAAGTAAAATTCCTACAACAGCTGTGGTTCTCATTCAGTGCCCATTAAATAAGTCAGAATTTTTCCTTGATTTAACTGGGGCTTGGAGCAAACTGTATGCGAGGATACAGAGCACAGTAGAATGCTTTGAATGGTTGTGTGCACTACTAATTATTTATTTGAAAGTTTTCTTCAAAACAAAAGCATTCACATTTTAGCATGTGTGATATAATGGCTATTTTTCTCTTCACTTTCAGCATTACAATCCCTGAAAAGCTAGAATATTTCATTAACAAATATGCAGAACACTCTCATGACAAATGGTCAATGGAAAAGGTAAAATCTATATTCCTGTTAAAGCAAAATCAGAATTTTTATTCGAATCCGTTTCCTCTTTAAAATATCTTACTCTGAATATTATTATTTTTCATAATGCTACAAGTTGGTAGGTAGGTAAGATATAAAGATATATTCTTGAAATGCATTGCGGGGGAAAGTTCTGTAAGTGCACATGAGTATTTCAAAGTAGTGATTCACAATTTAATTATTTTTCTTGTTGACTTTTGAGTAAATATACTTGCTAATTGTTTAAGAGTTTTATTGACTTGAAATTTCAATTTTTTATCCAGAAAACTTCTTTAGGGTTTTTATTCCTTTGTGCAGTTTGTGTGTCCCATATTAAAAACAGTTCCTCAACTGTAACACAGTATTCTGCTCTATATAAATCTTTAAAAGAAAAATGTATTGAAACATTAGCTTTGTGTAATCATTAATTTTCAGAAAGATGGCATGCTACACAATTAATTTCATTATATGTAGATAATATAAATGTTGGTTGAGAAAATAGTAAAAAGGAAATTTTAAGCGAACAGCTCTGCAGAAGCATTTTTTAGTTTCTTTGTACCAATAAAAATAGGATTTTTTCATAATTTTTTGCTTTTCCCCATTTTTTCCTCTCACATTATTACTGTTTTCAGTTTGCCAATGGATGGACATATGGTGAAACGTATTCTGAATCTGCAAAAGTGCAACCATTAATGAAACAATATAAGTTACTATCTGAAAAGGTAAGGAATTTGTTCGTTCTTGATCCAGGGTGATCGAAAGATTGCTTCATTCACTGTGAAAATATCACCTTGTGTTTACATAACTTTTTAAAAATTTATTTAGAATATGTCAGTTAATGTGTGATTGTTGCCTTCCTCAACATCTCAAAAAGAGATAGAAGGGTTTTATTGTACAATAAATAGGCCACTCAACCTATTTTCTCTCATGGCTGAATTTACATGGCATAACTTATGGTGAAACTGAAGTGTCATATTGCCAGTATATTTTGATAGTAAGGTCATACAGGAATGC